CCAGTACAAAAAAAAAAAAAAAAAAAAGATGTCTACTACACTATCAAACAAAAGTGTAGTTTCATTATATTTAATTTTTATTTTTCAAATGCCTAATTTTTTTGATGAAGATTATTTGGTGGGGGGCAGTACTGGGAATTGAATCCAAGCCTTCGCAAATTTTTTTTTACATTTTGAGAGGAGGTTTCACTAACTTTCCTAGGATGACATAGCATTTGAAATCCTCCTACCTCAACCTCCCAAGCAGCTGGGATTACAGTGTGTGCCATCACGCCCAGCTCTGAAGTATCTTTTTAGCTATTCCATGGATACTTCGTTAACAGCAAGGATAGGAGTATCCTATACTGGCATTTACTGTCACACATCTGACATCATGGAGAAGTGCAAAAACAGAAGTAGAAGAGAATCAACTAGTGACAGTGAACAAGAAAATGTTTTGTGTTGTTAAAACAAAATATGTGACATTGCCTAGACCAAACATCAAGGTATTGGTATCTGATGAGACCCCCGGCTACATCACAATACACTGGAGAAGTGAAAAATGAGGCAACCATATACAGAAGAGACCTAGCATGTGGGTTGGTCTTCTTTTAATAATCAGTCTTGCAAGAACTACTTGATCCCTTACCAAGGTAGTACCCCCATGACCTCCCCACTTTTTAGCAGGTCCATCTCCTACAGTTTCCACCACATCTTTATTTATTTATTTATTTTTGGTACCGGGAATCAAACTCAGGACCTTGTGCTTGCCAGGCAAGTGCTTGGGCCGCTGAGCTATATCCCCGGCCCCAAGTTTCCACCACATCTTAACACTGCCACGCCAGGACCAAGCTCCTAGGACACATACACTCAAACAAGAGCATGTCTTCTTTGGGCAAGTGGCTACATAAACTATACGTTGGCTAATACTGTATCTGGAACTGGGAGTGCAGCTCAATGGAAGAGCACAGTGCTTAGTAGCTTAGCACTCATAAACACTTGGGTCTGATTCCCTGCACTACTTGTAAATAATAGTAATAATGTATCAATGCCATCTGCTTACTGGGAAGAACTGTATTATGCTTATATATGAGAATACTCTTGTTCTTAGAAAATAAGCAGTATTTAAGCTTAAAATGTCATGTCTTCAAATAAATCATATGCTTCAGCCCCCAAAACAAAATAAGGCAAATCTGGCTAATATACTATTTTTATAGCTTTTCTATAATTTTTAATTTTTCAAAATAAGTAATATCTGAGAAGTGAGATTCAGCAGAAAAATCATCAGTGCTACTAGTAAAAACATGACAGCTCTAAAAGAAATAGAATTTCAGGTCTCCTTAATACTTTTTTTAAGTCTTAGGGTGGGGAGTAGTGGCATGTGCCTATTTTTTGTGTTTTTTTGAGTCACAGTCTTGCTATGTAGCCCAAGCTGACCATGAATTTATGGCAATTCTCGGCCTCTGCCTCCTGAGTGCTAGGATTACAGGTATGGGCTACCATGCCTGGCTCTAGTACCTCTTTCATTGGTAGTTAACACACAAATATGTTTGAACAAATGTATCTAATACTGTAACTGTGGATCTCAGGGGCTATCCATGCTCAAGACTTTTTTTTACTTCTATTTTGCAACAAGCTTTTTGTTTTGTTTTGTTGAAATGGGGTCTCACTATGTAGTTCAGACTGGTCTTGGACTCCTGGAGATCCTGAGTGCTCACATATGCCACCATGCCTGGCTCAACCAACTAACACTTTGGGTAACTAATATTATATATTTGTAAGTAGACTCACTGATTGTTTATGCCATTGTCACATGATACATTCGATCTACTGGTAATTCCTATTGCTAGATTTTTCAAAACATATTCAAAATCCAACCTTTTTTTTTTTTTTTGGTTTTTTTTTTTTTTTTGTCTTTTTTTCAGACAAGGTCTCACTATGCAATTTAGGCTGGTTTTGAACTCACTTTGTAGCCCAGGTTGGCCTCGAACTCACAGCAATCCTCCTGCCTCAGCCTCTGGAGTGCTGGGATTACACGCATGCGCCACCACACCCAGGAAAAATCCAACCGTTTCTTATCACTTCTACCAGTACTGAGTTATAAGTCACCCTTCTGTCCTTCGCCTGGATTGGCTTCCTTCTATTTGATTTTTGTCCTTTTAATGGTTAAGAAATATTATATCACTCCTGTTTATGGGTTTTATCATCCTTCAAATAAAAGACATAGTCCCTGGGGCCATGTATGAGCCGGCCTTATCTCCTGTTGAACCCTGCACTCCCATTTTAATCAATCTACTCTTCACTCTCTCAGGCTATCCAATAAGCATGGCAAATAAGCATGGGCCACTGGCTCTTTTAAGAAACCTTCTCCGGGCTGAGAATTTAGCTCAGCGACACAGCGCCTGCCTGTCAAGCGCAAGGTTGTCAGTTCGATTCCTGGTACCAGAAAAAAAAAACAAAAAAACAACAAACCAAAAAAAAGAAAGCTTCTCTCTCAACTACATTAACGGCTCTCCTTTTAGTGTCACTTATCAAAGAGTGACTTTACTATTCTTTATAATGTCCACCCCATTCTCCCTACTGGTTTTACTTTGCTCCATAGCACTTGTCAACATCTGACATAATTATTAACGTAAGTTCTTAAATGACTTGTTGTACAAACTTGTATCACCAGTTCCAAGAACAATGATACCCACGAGATATGCTCTCAAAAATTGCCAAATGATTTTTTTTTTTTTTTGTCTTTTTGAGACAGGGTCTTGCTATGCAGTTCAGACTGGCCTTGAGCTCACTTTGTAGCCCAGGCTGGTCTCGAACTCGCAATGATCCTCCTACCTCAGCCTCTGGAGTGCTGGGATTACAGGTGTGCGCCACCATACCCAGACTGAAAGATTGTAATGTTGCCTTTTTTTGCACTGCTGGGGATTGAACCCAGGGATGATCTACCACAGGGCTACAGACCCAGCCCTTTTCATTTTTGAGAGTCTCGCTAGGTTGTCCAGGCTGGCCTTGAACTTGTAATCCTCCTTACCTCAGCCTCCTGCATAGGATTATAGGTATGAACCACTGCTTCTAGCTTGCATACCAATAGTTATTTGGAAACATTGTAAGTATTATCCAACAATTAAATATTTCACTTAAGTTAACTTTTTTTTTTTTTTAGTTAACATTATTTTTAGCCTTCTTCCCTAGCAATCCAATTTCCCGTTAAGAATGAATAGTCACAGCCGGGCGTGGTGGCGCACACCTGTAATGCCAGCACTTGCGAGGCTGGGGCAGGAGGATCCTTACGAGTTTGAGACCAGCCTGAGCTACAAAATGAGCTCAAGGACAGCCTGAACTGCATAGCGAGACCCTGCCTCAAAAAAAAAAAAGACCAAAAAAACATGAACAGTCACATTCAACTCAACACAAAAAAGATGCTATTTCATACAGATTACAAGGCCAAAGGCATTTGGAGAGGAGATGGGGTGGATAGTAAGATGAAATATACACAGGGTGATGGAAAGGTAAGGCTTATATTAGTATACAACTATTATTCAGCTGGAGCCTTTAAAGTTGCTCTGTAATTTACAGACCTACATTCTTAGCAAACAAGAAAGTTCACAATAACCATATAGTTCTCTCTTTTTTTTCATATAGTTATCTCTAAAAAGAATATTCACATATTTTGTTTTTTGAGACAGGATCTCACTATGTAGTCCAGGATGGCCTCAAATTCACAGCGACCTTTCTGCCTCAGCCTCCCAAGTGCTGGATTACAGACATGCACTACTGGTCTTACATGCATTTGAGAGTAACTACACTAAGATGCCTGGGTCTGAGGGAATTAACGTCCATCAGCTAACACCAACAACGTTTTTTTTTCAGTTTAGTGTGCAGCTTTTAATTCACAAATCACATGTTTTTAAAGTGACCAAGGCCAAATCATATTCACTATACACATTTTTATTTTTTCATTTAGACAATTTCAAGTTTGTACATGAGAATAGTAAGTATACATTACCCATCCACTCACTACAAATGTTTGAACTTAATAACTATCTTGAACACTCTTCAAAATAATCTTGAAGAATATACATACATACTTTTATAATGGTAGCAAAGTTTTATCAAAGATAGGAAAACAAATAGGCTGAGTTTGGCCAAGTAAAAGTAAGGAAAGCAGTATTACCCTAAAGTGTAAGAGCGGCCACCATGGAAAAGTAAACGGTAGCCTTGAAGTATAAACTTTAAGAAAATTTTCTTACAATGTTCCTGAAGTATTAACTACAAGAAGCTGAACACTGCCAATCTCTAACTGAACAAGGTGCTACTGAACACTGAGATGCGGCAAATCTGCTTTGAGCAATTAGGAAAACAAGTGATGCTAAAATTCAGACTATTTTATTCTCAACACTGAGTAAAATCTCGTTTTCACTGCACGAATTGTACCAGATTTTTAAACAAATTTATTGATCACTTATCACAAACCAGACACTGTGCTATGCACAAATTAAAAGCCTCTGACTTTCAGAGCCACTAAAGCACACAAGAGTAAAAATACTGCCGAGAAAACCTAAAAGAGACTGGAACCTATCCTCAATCAAGATGGGCCTGACTGTAAGAATGGGGGTTTGGGTTGAGGGACCGAAACAGGTAATCCAGATCATGGAGTACTTTAGGGAGGAAAAAAAACCCCCAAAAACCCAAAAAACAAAACAACCCAAAAACTTAAATGGGGTGTTTTAGTAAGGGGTACGAGGCAAAATTATTCACAGTGTTGAGTTAAAAGCCAAGGACAGTAGAGTTTCAAGATAAAGATCAAAAAGGTGTATGACTGTGGGTTAGTCAAACTCTGACCTTAACTTTTCCTTGGCTACAAATTCGAAGAGTTTTAATGAGAAGTAAATGAGCATGTGGAGTACTTAACATAGAGCCTAGCACATACAAAGCATTCAGTAACTATGAATGAACAAAACTCCATTATTTTCCCTGCCAAAAGTTAGTCCTTTTTCTCCAATGTAGTACTAGTTAACTACCTGCTTTTGTAGACTGGCCTGAGAATGTTGAGTTGTCTTCATTATCTGATATTCTCAAATCAATGTACTAAAAAGTTAAGTTCCCAGATATTTCTAGCAGTTTCTGAAATTACAAAATAAGAATTTTAAATGTAAAGACATTTTAAAATGAGTAGGACTTAACCGAATATGCTGCTATCACACCGCTAGCTATGCTGCAAGTGGAAAAAATGTTTTCGTAAACATCATGAATTTAAGTTTCTTAGGGAATAATCATCTAAAGATACAATCTTTCCAAAAACAAAGGTCATGCTTTAATCGCTGCGTCCTTATTAAAAAGATACTCAAAGGTAACAGATTATCAAATAAACCAGCAAAAATATTTAAAGTGCTAAGAAAATAAGGTCAGCTACAATTTCCATATACATTAGAAATATTAACTTAAAATTGAAAAGAAAACCTTTTGGCGATGAAAAAAACACACGTACTTCAGAACTTTAATATCTACAGAACTACAAAAAGAAAACTGAAATTGCATTTTTAATGCACTGAGTCTCCAAACTGCCAATATTTCAAGAATAAAAAAAAAAAAAAGAAAGAAAAACAAAAGCCAGGTCAATGTTAACTGTGTGAGAGGACATTAAATCTGTTTCACTTTACCATCTGTCCGCAGTCCGTAACAAACGTTATGTTGCAAATTTCAAATACACAAAAGAATAAAATTTAAAAGCAAATAAAAACACGTTCAGGCCCCCCTTTTTTCTCCTTTTGCGAGAAATGCAACAAAGGGAAGATCATCTAATAACACAGTACCACTTTGAAAAACAAAGAATGTGGTTGGGGAGTCTGCCCGACAAAGACACCCCTCGCTCAGATTATTTAATTAACACGACTAAAAGTCCTTAAGACGTGGTTAAATACGTTAAGTAAGGTTATGTATCAACTGTTGCTTCGTGCGAACTGCTTGATCAGCAACTCGTCAATCGAAAGAGCAGTAGGCGACTATAAACCCGTATTAAATCCACTTCCCCTCAGTACATTTATTCCTCCGGGCGAGATTTCATTTTTAAGGAGCAGTTTGAAAATCCTTGGGGCGTCCGGTTAGGCTTTTTGGTCGAGGGTCGGGGGTGCTACAGAAGGAAAGCCAAGGAGAGGATAGAGAGAGATGTCTGGCTTTTTTCCAGCTGGCAAATACGAGAGTAAAGTTTACCTTGGTCTCAAGGGGCAAAAAAAAAAAAAAAAAATCCTACCAACGCAAAGAAAACGAAAGGAAGGGTTTCAGGAGGAAATCAAGTGAAAATGAAGGCTAGAACTAAAGAGAGGTGCGCGGGGGACTGAGAGCAGGGGACAAAAAGCAGCTCCGCCGTGTTCTAAAAAATGGTCTGAATGAAAAAGTCTTTTCTGCAGGTCTGGGGCGCTGAGAGCCCGCGGCGCGGCCGAGGCCGCAGCGGGGCAGCCGCGGCGCGGGGTCAACTCGGAGGGCGCCGCGCTCCCTCCGTCTGTCCGCTCGGCCCGGGTCTCGGCTCTAAGCTTCCAGCTGTGTGTTAAGGAGAGGAACCACCGTATCGCGGCGTCCACGGAGAACAATAGGCTGGGGAGCGGCGCAGGGCCGAGGCCTCCCTCCGGGACGACCACCATCCCGCCTCCCTCACTGCTGCTCCAGACTCACAGAGTCTTGGGCATCTCGTCCTCCATGGCTGCTGCTGTTGCGGCGGCGCCTCTGGGTCCAGCTCCCTTCCTTTCACTACCTCCCAAATCGTTGGAGCGGTTATGGCTGAGGAGTAGCGGGATTTCGCGGCTGACCGGAGGTTACTCCGCCTTCCTCGTCGGCGGCAATCACACCTAAACGCCCGGCCCAGCGCGAACAATGAAGCCCCGCTCCAAGATGGCGGCCAGCCGGGAGCCTGGGAGCAGCCAGCGAAGTGACCCGGGCCGCGCAGGCGCAGAATAACCTTGTGTTTAACCTCGCGGCCGCCAGGCTACGCCTCGATCCATAGGTTCACTTGTTGCGCAGCCGCTCTTCCTCTCGATGCTGGGACGGCTCAGACGGCGCAGGCGCGAAGTTAACTGTTTCAAGACCTGGTGTAAAGTTCTCGCGGCTGCAGACCGAAATGTTTCAATAATGAGTTATGATGAAATAGAAATATGCAGAGGAATTGGGAACCCAAACATGCCCAGGGAAAAAAAAGATTTAAGATTCCTCAAATAAAACTCAGGATAAGTGTGAAGAGGCAAGAAGTCAAATTGCGCCGCCCGGGAATCGAACCCGGGTCGCAAGAATGGGAATCTTGCATGATACCACTACACCAGCGGCGCTGTTGAAAGTGGAGCTCGCTACAGGTTCTTAGGAGTACACATACGTACACGTTCTTGCTTGAGGGTGAAATTTATATTTATTTATTCATTATTAACAGTTTATAATCTATTATTTTTCATTCTTGTAAGAAAGGATTTGTCTTCCCAATGGAACTGAATGAAGCGTTTAGGTTTTTCTGTACGGAAAAATCTCTATTTTATTTTATTTTTATTTAAAAAAGGGTTTCAGTAAGAAGAATCTACCTTGGTGCTAACCAATTTTTTTGAGAGCTGGAAAAATATTATCAGACACTGGATTTTTCTTTAAATTTGTATTTCTTTGGTGTGCTGAATGTACACTGAAAAGCGTTTAAGCAATAGTTATTATTGCAAATTGGTTACAAGAGTTTTAAATCAATCAGGGGATATCTAAACTTTAGCTCTTTCTTAGGAGACAGAATTAGGGTTCTGAAAGGTGGGTCAGTACAGTCACTGTGCGTTTCATACTGCATTTAATAAAATATGTGAAATACGTATTTTTAAATTTTTTATTTATTTCATTTTTGGGGCTCGTTTTTTGAGAAAGGTCTCACAATGTAGTGCAAGCTGGTCTTGAACTCATGAAGATCCTCCTGCCTCAGCTTCCTGAGTGATGGGACTATAGGCACGCCCCACCACACTTGGCTAAATAGATATTTTTAAACATAGGAGAATTTATACATTCAAAGGCATGATGTCCTCCACAGAATAGTTCCTTTAAACTGTGATCTATTTTGGATTTTCATTTTTGGAATTGTCATTAGAATCCGTTGCACATTCTTCTAATTGTATGAAAAGATATCAGTTATTAGTTTTTTGAGGATAAGACAAATGTTAATAGTATATAATATTTTAATACCTTTTTGATACACCCAGTTAAAGTGATTTTTAGTTTATTCGGAGCTTTTCTAACATCAATCAATTTTAGAACATGTTCATCCCACAAGTGAATTTTTTATCAATTAGCTGTCACTCCATTTCCTGTCCCATCTCAATCCCAGCCCACTAATCTTCCTTACCCTGTAGATTTGCTTCTTCTGGACAGTTCATATAAGTGGAACCATACAGTCTGTAGTTCCTTGAAACTGGTTTCTTTCACTTAGCATTGTGCCTTTAAGATGCATCTACGTTATAGCACCTATCAGTACTTCGTACATTTTTATTGTCAAATAAAATGCCATTATATGGCATTTTATTTTTTTAAATTTTTATATTTATTTATTTTTCTTTTTTTAGAAAAGTATTTTAACTAAAATAATTTTAGTACAGGTCTGCAGTATACAACGCAGACATTCATTGTGGGGAATTGTTACATGTACATAACACGTAATTTTTTCCTGCTTTAAATTTTTTTTGCTTGCATCATATTTGTCTTTATCAAGTTAATTGTAATAAGTACAGATTAACAGCCATAAAACACACTAGACAATTATACTACCCCAAGGTACACTTTTAGATATGTTGGCTATGCAGGAGTACAATTTTTTCCCTCTTTACCTATTGTCTCTTATTTTGCACTTTATGTGTTGGGTTTCTCATATAAGAGAAACTGTGCTATAGATAAGCTTGTATGTCTGATTTAGTTCATTAATGGTAGAATCTCAAGGTGCATCTGTTTTTCTACAAATGAATCAAGCTTAACTTTCAAGAGAGAGTAGTATTCCATTGTGCTGGGAGTTCCTGGAGTTGTTTCTGCATCCTCTATTCTAGGGATGGTGTTCCTTTTAGAGATTGAGTGCGCAAACTACAACCCAAAACCCACTTACATTTCTTTATCCATCATCGGTGACGGACACATCGGCTACTTCCAAGATTTACCTAATACAGTTTGTGCTGCTCTAAACATAGGTATGCATGTGTTACTCCCATACAATGTCTTTAAGTCTTTCAGGAAGGCGAATGAGTAGGGAAAATGGAATTTCCATTTTCAGTCTTTTGAGGAATGTCCATACTTACTCAGTTTAAACTTCTACCAACAAAGCTTCTACCCCATAGCCTCTCCAGCATTTGTAGCTGGCTAACTTAAAGATAGTCATTCTTTATGGAGTAAGATGGAATTTCAGTGCTGCCTCTCTTGAATTGTCAGTGATGTTAAATAGTTTTTCATATTTATTGACCATTTGTACAACATAGAAGTGTCTGTCCGTTGAAAATGCCCATTTTTAGTTAAGGTTTTAAATGGGGGGGGGTGTTGTTGGAGACCACTACAAAGTGGCTCTGAGCAGGATTTAGTATTAACCAATTGGCTTTCTGTGTTCACTTGTGAATCTGTCCAAGGCCTAGGCTCCTTATCTGGAAATGGCGGACTCATAGTAAGTGAGCCTCTGTGAGTCACTGATCCCTACTAGAACCTGTAGTGGTGGGTGAAGCCAGTAAACCTCAAAGGACAAAATAAGATCACAGCCAAGGACACCTGGGTCAGATCTCAACTAGATGAAGACTATAGCCTCAGGCATCTCATTCTTCAGTGGATTAATTTCATACCTTACTTAGAGAAGTCCTTGAGTGATTCTGAGCTTCTTGAGTACTCCCCTCCCTTCTGATAACTGAATAAATATGGGCGACCCAGAGAAGGTCGTGGTCTTAGCCCAGAGAGAATTTTGAATTATGTGAGAGGGCTTTGATCCTGCTGGGGCCCTGAAATCATTCCATTTGCCTATTTTTATCGAGCCTTTGCCATACACTTATTCAGGAGATCGCAGACCTGATCAACCGTCAATAACTAAGGGATATTATTATTCCCATGGGGGGGGTAATCTTTTTTGAGTTTTATATATATACTTTAGATCTTACTTCTTTGTCTGATGAGTACCTGGCAAATTTTTTTCCCATTCTGTAGGTTGTCTCTTTACCCTGTTGATGATTTCCTATGCTTTGCACAGCTTTTTAAATTGACATGATCCCATTTGTTGATTCTTGGTGTTATTTCTTACGCAACTGGGGTTCTGTTCAGAAAGTCTTTATCTACACCTATCTCTTCAAGAGTTTTATTTATGTCTTCCAGTAGAGTGTTTCTTTTTTAATATTTAGATCTTTGGTCCATCTTGTTTCAGAGGAGGGTGAGAGATACTGGTCTAGGTTCAATCTGCATGTGGATAACTAGTTTCCCCAGCACTATGTCTTAAATAGGCTGTCTTTCTCCCACTGAAAGTATTTGCCAGTTTGTCTAAGACAAGGTAGCTGGGTGTTCTGGAGTTGTTTCTGTACCCTCTTTGCAGTGATGGTGAACCTTTTAGACACTGGGTGCCCAGACTTCAACCCAAAACCTGCTTATCATGAAGTGCCAATAACTGAATTAAACCCAAATACTAATGTTTTAGTTTAGAAAGAAAAATTCATACATCAACATCATTCATCTTAAAAGAAAAATATAATCACAGAGTTCTGAATGATGTAACTTCTTATTGAAAGGTAAGTTTGCATGTGGTGTGCTTTTTGTGCAGTTACCCAATGCCCAGTTGCAGAGGTGATGTGGGGCATCTTGGTTTATGTGCTGACTGAGGGTTCTTCATGCCCACTGCAGGCCGTGTGCCATAAATTCACCATCAGTGCTCTATCCTGTTCCATCCACAAGTCTGTTGTTCATGTATGTGTGTGTGTGTTTGCTAACACCATACTGTTTTTATCACAGTGGCTTTGTAGCCAGGAATTGTGATGTTGCCTGCCTTGCTATATTTATTTTTGAGACGGGTTCTCCCTAGGTAGTCCAGGCTGGCTTCAAACTCCTGGCAATCCTCTAACCTCAGCCTTAAGTGCTAGGATTACAGGTGTGCACCACTATGCCTGGCTCTATGTGGCATTTTTTTAAGCTTCTTTTTTTCTTTTTTCTTTTTTGCAGTGCTGGGAATTGAACCGATACCCTTGAGCTGAACTACATCCCAAGCCCCTACATAAGTAACTTAGGTTTTTTTTTTTTTTTTTT